CGGGTTCGTGGACAAGAACACAACGTTGTTCCAGGAAGATGGAGCACCGTGTCACACTGCTAGAAACACCCAAAAGTAGCAGGAAGAAAATGGTATCCAGAAGTTGCCCTGGCGAGCCAATCTCCTGACATGAACCCCATCGAAAACCACTGGGCCATACTCGACCGGCAAGTCAAGAAACAAAACAAAACAAAACAAAAAAAAAAACTTCGAAGAGCGATCTACTCCAAGTTTTGAAGCAAGAGTGGGCGAAAATCCCACAATCTAAAATTGACGAGATGATTCTCACGATGCCCCAAACGATCAACGAACTCCACGAAGCGAAAAGAAGATTACTATCAATTCATATGAATATGACTGAAAAATTTAATTTTTTTCTGAAAAGGTGGTGTCTATTTAATTGTGGCCACGCTGTGTATGTATAGCTAGAAGGGAATATTTTTCCGCATCGTATGTCAGTATATTAATTTTACCAATTAATATTAGAGCTCAAAAACTACAGACTAAAAGATTGAGTCCACGTGATCGTTAATTACGAATTAGTTGTTGTAGCCAGTGACCCAAGCCTCGTTCTCAGGTGAGAATTATCCATTTCGACACATTATGTTATGCTACATAGACCAGGAAATATACGCATTTTTCAACACGTAAGCTTACCTGTACAATGAGATGTATCAGTATTGTCGTTATCAAACTTGCAATTGAAGCGCTGTTCCCAGAATGGCTTAAACCATGGATTTCTCGTATTACTTTCAGGCCTTAGGGACTTGAAGTATTTGTTAAAGTCTAGAAAATGAAGTATATTACAAAATTCACAACTAGTGTGTTTACACTGATCATAATGAACTAGCAGGTTAGTTAATTAATATCGTCATTTGAACAATTTCAATGTAACGTTTCTATGCTACATAACCAAAAGTAATGGGACAGCAATCAAACATGCAGTGTTTCATGTTTTCACCTATGGATCCAATACTTAATAGCTACAAACCCTGTAACTAACCATTAAATTTCTATAAATACCTGGTGGAATATGACGGCAATCTTCTTACAGAGAATTGGAAGTTCAGCGAGGAGCGTTAATCTGATAGATTTGGCTCTCAGGCAGTGTTCCAAAACTTCTCGCAGTGGTTCGATTGAGTTTAAGTCGTCAAGATTCTGGTTCGGTTTCTAACTGCCTTACAAACACATCACAACTGCATGGTTGTGTCACCATGTTAGTAGCCTTGAGGACCTTCACTATAAATATGCATCAAAGCAGTGAGTGCAGCCTTATCAAAAATAGCGCAGTATGAGAGGTTATTCATTTTTTCCTTGAATTAGCCCCTACCAGGAAATACAGGTCCTAACCACTACGTGATCTAAATGCAGTTGCTAAATGTAGCGTTTATTTTAAATTGCATTTGTTTTGAATTACATGGAAGGGTTATTATACCCGATCTTAAGGGGCCGTTTTATCCAACCTTACAGATAAAACGTCGCACAACCACAAGAATAGAATTATTTCAATATCTAAAGAAAAGTATGTCTAATTTTTGTTTTAATCAGAAATTTCTTATATAATAGCATTTTAAAATAATTATATTTTTCATTGCATTTATTTTACTTGGTGAAAAACGCATTCAAAGTTAAGGTGTCTGTATTATCCCATTTTCCTGGATTATAGTGCTAATGCTAAAAATGTGGTTTATTTTTATTACGGGTTTCAAAGCTCATCTGACCTTATCTGTCAATTTTCCTAGTCTGTCAATCCTACTTTCGATATTGCTATAATCTTCTATCTTTCATTTTTAATAACATTATCTACAGCTATTTTTGGTATGCTCAAGAAGACACAGATGCTGTGCAAAATCGCAACTTTCATCTGGTTTCTGCTGTCCATTCCCGCTGAAGGTCAGTCAGCTTTTGACCTCGAAGTATCTTAACTATAACTAAGCATGTTTGCCTGTTGCTGAGATTTATAAAACGCAGGCTGCATTGCACTTTAAAAAGATTATATAAATGTATTTTAGGAGAGCTCTTTTTTGAGTTTGGATTTGCTGTCCCAATACTTTTGGTCATATAACAGAGTAGTTATATTGAACGATAACTACACTTAAACAGTTTATTCTAAAATATTCAAAAAAGGTGCAACACATTTAAACTTACGATGCTAACATAAAAATTATTTTTGTAAACCTTTGATTTTAATTACGTCACGGGTGAAATGTAGAATGCAAATCTGAAACTTTTTTTCTCTTTCTATTCAACAACGATTCATCAAATAAAGTTTCACTTGGTTGCTTTTTGATAGCTGTTTTGCATCCTTTAGTTTTTATGTGAACAAACCAATAAGGTTTTAGTTTAACCAAAGAAACTTAACTGTTTAGTTTCTCTTTTCGTGCGAAACAAATTAATGATCTATATTCTTTCATAATGTCTTTGAGCAGGAGACCAAACTTTTTCAAGCCTCATTATATTCGACTGACAGTTCCTGTGCAAGGATTTGATGAAATCAGTTGACGACTCCAACCTTTTAAAAAAACACAGTAATTCACTGTATAAAGTTAAAAGCAATAAAAAACTAAAAACATTTCTCTCCAATATCTTCAACACGCAAAAGAAACACAAGAAATTTCATATATATATATATATATATTCAAGTAAATGTACATATTTGCATATTATACAGTGGCGCCATTTACAAAATTGATTTTGAGAAATTTACTTCCGTGGCACCAGGATCTGAATCTCTACTCAAAATCATTTTGGTTTAGCAATTTCTAATGATTATCTTAAATTTAATTAATTTTTTCGACTTTACTTCAGTGTTCCAATCAATAATACGTGAAGAGTTCGCCACATGTTCCACCAAGGCCAAATCACTAGTTTTTAATTTATCAACGACATTTTTATGTTCGTTAATTCGAAATTTCAAATTTCAACTTGTCTGTCCAATCAATATACCACGAACCACAACTACAAGAAATGTTATATATATATAACACATCTATCCTTTACTTCAATTTTATCTTTAAGAGCATAAATGATATTGATTAATTTTAATAGAGGAGTAAAGGTTAGTTGACAAGTGATATTTTTCATGAACACATTACTTATTTTTGTTGACGACGAAGAAATGTATGGCAAACATATTATTTCCTTATTACACTTACTTATTGTCTGTAATTTGGTACATTTAGAAATTCGAATTTATTACAATGTTTTTTATGGATCCTATCTATAATATCAGGTTAACAATCTCTATCAGTCACTATATTATTTATCTAACGGCCTATGGACAATAGACGAAAATGAGGATATTTTTGTGATAATGGATGGTAAGATCTTACATGGGAAAAAAACTTTATTGGTTAGAAGAAGTGTTAGGTTGTTTCGAAAATAGTTTTCTAGCCAGTAATTATTTTCACTTCTAGAAGTATATGATAATATAAGTTCAACAAAGCTGTGTGTAACGGTTATTTTAAGGTATGTAATGAAATTTTCAAAGAGAATAAAGGTTTGTCCATGGGGGTCACCTTTATCACCTCTGTTATCAAAATTTTCGTCTTTAGTTCACAGGGCCGTTAATGTCTCTAATATATAGCAATTGGTAGAGGTTGTCAATAAAAATAGGTAATGATACGAGTTGTTAAATAACCACTACTTCTCAATTAAAATGAATTAATATCATTTATGATGTTAAAGATATAGTTGAAGTACAGGATATACATAATTTCTTGTAGTTGTGGTTCGTGGTATATTGATTGGACAGACAAGTTGAAATTTGAAATTTCGAATTAAAGAACATAAAAATGTCGTTGATAAATTAAAAACTAATGATTTGGCCTTGGTGGAACATGTGGCGACCACTTCACGTATTATTGATTGGAACACTGAAGTAAAGTCGAAAAAATTAATTAAATATAAAATAATCATTAGAAATTGCTAAAACAAAATGATTTTAAATACAGATTTGGGTCCTGGTGCCACGGAAGTAAATTTTTGAAAATCAATTTTGTAAATGGCGCCACTGTACAATACGCAACGTGTACATTTACTTGAGTATATACTAGAAATTTCTGGCGTTTTTCTTGTCTGTTGAAGATGGTGGAATATGTTTCACCGAAACAAGTAGAGAGTTTTTTTATTGCTTTGAATTTTATACAGTAAATCATTGGGATTTTATTTTTCACTGCTGTTAGGACTAAATATAAGGATTTGGGTGTATTGTTTGTTGCATCATTTTATATAACATTAATGTAAGGCCTCTTGGGCAGCTCCGAAATGAGGGAATATTCAATTATCACTTCTAGTTGTTGTTTAAACATGAAATAAATGTTAAATTTTCCTAATTATATTATAAAGTCGAGACCAACTATTTTCCATCCATTCACAAACTTATATTTTGACACAAGACAAATACTAACGGCAACTTACTATTTTAATAATAGAGGCCATAAAACTCGTATGCTTTGGTTGAAAAATAAACAAATAGGTTTAGGTTTTGATCACACTTGTTAGGTATAAAGTAACATTGTATATATTTGAGGATTAATATGTTAAAAGAAATTGATCTTACATGAAAACAATGGTAATATTGCTATGAGTATTTATTTGTTACAATAACATATACTGATAATATGAAAGTATATTCCTAATTTTGAATGATAATTATTTTATCTTTAAAGTTGATAGATGTTTTGTAATTACTTTGACACTTATCTTGTTTATTCAGTATTGAAGACAAAAATATATAATATTTTGTAGTTAATGATATTTATATGTAAAAGCTATTAAACTGATATCCAATTACATAAACTTACTCGTTATTTCATTTCTCTTTGGTAAAATTGTAATAGCGCCCTCTGCCACAACTTCTTGGTTTCTGACAGGATGTGCTTTAGCTCCCCAACTGTCACTTCCTATCCATAGAAAATGCCCCATCATGTTTACTTCAATTGTGGCCGCTAGGAGTTTTCTGTAAGATATAGTAGATAGATCATTAAATGTAAAACGAGTTTGTCTCAAAAGAACAAAGTGGGCACTAACATAATAAAAAAATCAAAAGTCTGACATTAAGCGAGAATCAAGTATGGAGAAACATTAAAGGGATATTTAATCACACAAAACAATGATTTACCTGCAGTTGTCTTCATCCACGAACAATACTACTCCACGAGCACGAACCTTGGAACTTAAGTTCTCAATGATTCTTATAAATTCTTCTGGTTTTGAGTTTCGAGAAATCTTTTCGGACACAGCAATACATATTCCTAAATGAATAGATTTTTTAAAGTGTACATAAAGGGGCTGTACTACATATTATAACCTACTTCAGTGTTAGATAACATTAGTAACAGCTACCACAGATTATTAGATCTAGAAATGTAAGAATGCCTTGACAAAAGTTATTTTAAACAACCAAAAATGTCTGTCTTTCGAGAATTGGCTTCTTATAGCAATATTTGTAAACTGTCCAAATAATTTGTTAAAGATAGAAAACCAGTGTTATAGGTTTTCTTTAAACTGAAAAATAATCACGTTGGAGCTTACTGATTCTAGGAAAATAATGGTTTCGCATTATTCAGGACAGAATTAAAATATACTGGACTGAGCGCTCCCTCTATAACGAAGTTTTGAAATTTTATTGCAGAGTGCAAAATAATAGTGTTGTGTTTGATTTCTTTCATTATAAACATGAATTTATTGGTTGGTTAAAATTTTAAGTGTTCGGTCAAATAAAAAAAATATCACTAAAATATTTCACGAAAAATGCACAACTGAGAATTAACTGAAGATAATAAAAATTAAATTGAACATGGAAGTTATGAAACGCAAGAAAATAATTATTTTTAAGACTAGCATGATTAAAGCTACAATTTAAAAAAATGCTTAACATTTGACTCAAATATCAAGATCTCTAACATTCAAAGCATCTTTATAAGATTTCAATTCTCTCTCTCTATCTTATATATCGCGCCCCAGTGGCACAGCGGACTTACAACGCTAGGATCCGGGTTTTGATACCCGTGGTGGGCAGAGCACAGATAACCTATGGTGTAGCTTTGTGCTTAATTACAAACAATATTATATATCGACTGAGCTAAAAGGTTTCTGAAATCCAATCTTTCCAAACACAAAAGTGGAAACACATGTAATTTAGATTTTTTTAAATCAAATAGTTTTATCTGAATTTATAAACTAAAATTTCAAAGTTGATTAAAAAAACGACAACAAAGATTTTCAATATTTTGTTGTGGACTTGTGTGAGTTAGTTGGATTCTAACAATCGACTTTTGTTATTTGTTTGAAAGTGAAAAGTGTGTTCTTGATTCTCCATCCAGAATAAAAACAAAAAAAAATCACAGAGATCAAATTAAAAAAAAAACGTACTGAAGAGGTTAAAGATCTCTCATTAACATTATCACATTTATTGACTTCCTATTCATTTCCATCTTGGTGCATCATTTTCTGTCTATTAAAAACTTATTAATACAAGTCCGCTTTGAATTATACCAGCCATTTTCACTTTGATATTTGCCCACGCTACTCTTAAAAACGTTAAAAGATAAACAGTTGTTATCAGTGAGTTTAACTTATATAAAGAACTGATCCAGAATTTATGTTATTTTGTGTTGGCTACTGATGTATATAATAAGTTTGACAACTGTATATTGCTAAGGCTTCTACAACCAGGATAATTTTATCGTTTATGCAGTATATATTAAGGAACACTTGCACAGATGTTGAAGAAATGCTATCCAAGCGCCAGGGAAAGTCATACCTGATCTCCGAGCTAGCATCTTGAAATATTCTATACCTTTTTCCCCGTAGTCTCCGTCAACAGCAACCGTGGAAACATAATTCCAACCTAACTTGTTGATGATGTCCACCATGGCTTGAGCCTGCAGATTATCAGGTGGAACCACTCGGGAAAAGTAGTCAAACCTAGTCTTATCGCTGAGTTCAGTGCTGGTAGAAGCATAGCTTATTTGTGGAATCTGTTGAAAAAACACGGCAGCAGTCAGGTGCTTTTATAATAACTTATATATGGAATGACCGTACTGGGGTTGATATTCATCTGTTTAAATCTATTATTCTAATAACTAACATAAATAATGAAATACTATCGGTGTTGCAATCTCGGTTATACTATAAGTATTTTAATTTGATAACGACGAACACACTTTGAGACAGTAAAGTTTGAAGACTGTTGAATGGGTAGTAATAAAAACCTCATTACAAGTTTAACACAGTAAAATTTGTAAAACATTTCGAGAAGGCTTTGCCATCATCAAGTTACCTGATGATGACAAAAACTTGCCGAAACGTTGAACATTTGTTACTATGTTAAACTTGTAATAAAATTTTTCTTGACTACCCGTTCAAGCCGTCTCCAGACTTTGTATACTATAAATATGTTATATCCTATTCGTTTTTAAAGCATTTGTTTTATTCTTTAGAAAAATCGCTTTCACAATAACCCAACTATACTGTCACTTTGATTCGTACGATGCATTTTTGTGATTGACTGTTTATTGTCAAAACGTACTTAAATATATCTGTGCAAATAAAAATAGGGGATAAAATTTCTCTGGCATGTATAAAGAACCGAGATAAAATTATAATTAAAGTTATTTATATATATATTCGATTAAAAGGATATGACCACAAACAGACAGTCAACAGGCGACTATTTTGTTGACATTCTATTGTCATTTTGAATAGGTCTCACCAAGTAGCATTGTACGAAATTTAACTGATCTAAAACATGCGTGAGAGCTATTGCATACAACCTTCATTAATTTTAAATAAGTAAAACCTTTGGGTTGATGACCGCGTAACTTAAAATGTTATTAAGAAAATCAAGCCATAAAAAATTAAAAACCTGCATTAAATACTGAACTAGATACTCTTAACTAGATAGCGGGGTTGACTGTCACACTTATAACGCACACAAAGCTGAAATTGCTAAGGCTGTTTGGTAGAATTACATCTGGATACTCTCAGACTGTCGCTCCGGTACGTTAACCATTAGGCCACAATCGTGCATATATAAGGAACTAACAGAAAAGTGAAAAGTGTGAGCGATTTGATATAGCCCCTCATCCTCGATGGCCCGACGGTAAGTCTGGGGGCTTATGACGCTAAATATAAAATTTGAGTACCCGCGGTGGGCAGAACACAGACATCCATGGTTTAGATTTGCACTTAAGAACAACGAAGCATAGTCTATAGTTAGTTGTGTGTAGTCAAAATGTTTCAATAGAATTAAAATAAAATTACGACGTTAAAGTTTCCATAATAACTTAATTGTATAAGGTAAAATACAAGGTGTGCTCTACATATTTTGGTGGACAACATGGTCCACCATCTTCAGTGCTGTCAGTCTGATATACTGATCAAAATATCTTTTACGGTAAAATACAAGGTGTGCTCTACATATTTTGGTGGACAACATGGTCCACCATCTTCAGTGCTGTCAGTCTGATATACTGATCAAATATCTTTTACGGTAAAATACGAGGTGTGCTCTACATATTTTGGTGGACAACATGGTCTACCATCTTCAGGGATGTCAGTCTGATATACTGATCAAAATATCTTTTTCGGTAAAATACAAGGTGTGCTCTACATATTTTTGTGAACAACATGGTCTACCATCTTCAGGGATGTCAGTCTGATATACTGATCAAAATATCTTTTACGGTAAAATACAAGGTGTGCTCTACATATTTTGGTGGACAACATGGTCCACCATCTTCAGTGCTGTAAGTCTGATATACTGATAAAAATATCTTTTACGCCAGAAATTCTGAAAGTTAATATTTCACCAATTCTTTGAGTTTTAGATGAAATCCTGGTTATGAAGAAGATATTTCCAGTTTTTTTTTTTCGTTTTCCAATGAAACATCTGTTATTGTGTGGTAAAAGCGCGTTTCACGTTGTTCCAGGATTTAATTTGACGTTCCGTTCCGTTTCTGGGTTTTAGTATACCCCTCTTGTGTAGCTTTGTGTGAAATTTCTAAAAAAAAAAAAGACTATACTAATATGTACATCTGTGTTGGCAATGTGTTGTCATATTTCCTCTTTTTTTTCAACTCTCATAAACTTTTCTAAGATATGATTGTAAGTCATATTCTAATTAGTAAGTGACTGTTAATTAATCCTGATGCCTTAGTGAACTGGCCTTAATTATTCCTTGTGCTCTTGCATCATAAGACTTCAAATATATTTGTTCTATTTCATGGGCACATTAAATAATTAGTACTAATCATGGCCTACAGGGACTTATAATGCAGTTTACTGGCGTGTGTGACAGACCGTCGTAAAATAGGCTTTAATCCTGGAGTTAGTAACGTGACTTTGGTCTGAAGCCGGAATATTATGATTTCCATTAACACAATTAGAAGAATAAAGAAGTAATCGAGTTTTACGTTAGGCCTGTAAACAGAGCAACAGACACATACATAGATACATTACTAATAGAAGCTTATAACTCAGTTTTGTATATAATAGAATATATATGATACAGATAAGGTATACGAGTCGTAAAACGTTTTTAATCATTATTAATTTTACTAAGCTTTATAACACTTTGAAATAAACAATACTTTCTACGACCTCCCTGTGGCTCAGCCTATAAGCTTGAGGTGCTAGAATCTAGAGTGCGATCCCTGTAGTAGTGGGCACAGCATATATAGCCCATTGTAAAGCTTTGTGCTTAACAATAAACTTTGGTTTCACTAAATATTGTACGGTCACCTAATCAAAAATGTACCTTCCTGAATGTTTGATTTTATTAACTTTTGCCCTTAAAAATTAAGCATATTCTTTTACCCGAAACGTTGCGTAATAATGTATAATTATTCACAAATTAAAAGTTTCTATATTATTATTTGTTAACATTAAAAGGCCAAGAACATAGTTACTAATTGAAATGGAACTTGTACTTGCGTTTCTATTGTGAAACATGTGTAAGTTCATTCTTCGTCTTAGGTATCTAGTTTTATGAACACACAATAATCCATAAGCTCAGAAATACAGGCAGTAAATAATATTTCAAAGTTAAATCCATACTTTGAATTCGTATAAAATGTAACTCCTACAGTAGGTTCTAATTCACAATTAGTTTCTTGAAAACATTTTTTACCAGATAAATATTTTGTTATTATCTCAAAAATACAGTCCTTATTCCTATTGTCGAATAATAGGAATCGAACACTGCATTTTAGTGTTCTAAGTCCATAAATTTATTCCTGTCCAATGGAAGGGCCTGCTGTGATGACAGTTGAAAGCTACGGAAAGAGTTTCAGGTTTCTCATCAACTAGTAGCATTCATGGAAGGTTTTAGGTTTCTCATCAACTAGTAGCATTAATGGAATGTTTTAGGTTTCTCATCAACTAGTAGCATTAATGGAAGGTTTTAGGTTTCTCATCAACTAGTAGCATTAATGGAATGTTTTAGGTTTCTCATCAACTAGTAGCATTGATGGAAGGTTTTAGGTTTATCATCAACTAGTGGCATTGATGGAAGGTTTTATGTTTCTCATCAACTAGTAACATTGATGGAATGTTTTAGGTTCCTCATCAACTAGTAGCATTGATGGAATGTTTTATGTTTCTCATCAATTAGTGGCATTGATGGAAGGTTTTATGTTTCTCATCAACTAGTAACATTAATGGAAGGTTTTAGGTTTCTCATCAACCAGTAACATTAATGGAAGGTTTTAGGTTTCTCATCAACTAGCAGCATTGATGGAATGTTTTATGTTTCTCATCAATTAGTGGCATTGATGGAAGGTTTTATGTTTCTCATCAACTAGTAACATTAATGGAATGTTTTAGGTTTCTCATCAACCAGTAACATTGATGGAATGTTTTAGGTTTCTCA